GTGTGGCTGTGGGAGAGAGGTCGTTTCAGCACTTCTGCTTCAACTTGAGCATCTGACCTGCATGTCCAGGACACTCACTAATGGGATTGAGACCCGGTGGTGTGATGCTGAGCTCTTTGCTTGAATACTTTCCCTGTCCCTGAGTTCCCGGTTTAGACTTTCAGATTCCTTCATATTAGGGGAAGCATCACTGTGTGGGCCTGGCCTCTCTCTCATTCATTCCATTTTCTTGGTTCTTGCTTGGGTGGTGAATTCCTCTGAGGAGCGAGAGACACATGGTCCCCATGTCCTGTCCTTAAGCAATTCAGTGTGACACAGCAGTCTTGATGGCAGATAACTGTACATTACAGGGTTGTGACTCAGTTATAATTGCATATGCATTCTAATGAAGGTATAGTGTGTGAGCTTTTCTAAACTGGAAGGTGGTAGAAGAACCATGAACCAGCATTTTGCATTTGCTAGACCAGGTGTGTATGGGTGTGCCACACAGCTGGGAATGGGACCTGGCTCACAGTTGAATTGCAGGGACGTACCATGACGGTTACTCAAGAGTCCCAAAAAGTTGATCTTGACTGACTGGTCAGTCTCAGTGCATTTCCTTTTGATTTCCACATGGGCCAACTTGAGATAACTGTGGGAAGTAAAAGCTATCAATAGTATCAAGCTCTCCCTCCAAATGCAAGGGGTCATCAGACCTGTTGAATTTCTCTTTTGTATTCTGGCCTTTAAACCTCCTCCATAGATTGGCTTATGCAGTCTCCTACTGGTCAGCTTTCTGAGTGTGGCCCAGCTCCTGATTCAAAAGAAGAACTTAGAATTTCCTCCTTCCACCATGTTCCTCCTGTTGACCCTAAGTTTACATTGAGGAGTTGAAACTTCCAGCCTCCCCATAGAACTGCAGAAACTTGATTAATGCAGTGCCTTTGGTATTCCATGGCCTCTTTCACTTTCTTGCCTGTGTCCAGGAAGAGCGCTGGAAGCGTCCTGAAGGAGATGCTTCCTGGATGACTCAGTGACAAATTGGAAAATGGTGAGACTTGTTCATTTCATTGTCCACATCTTAGGAGGTGATTGTGTGGCTAAGAACAGAGTTCCCACCGGAGTGAGTGGTTAGGTCTTCTTCAGGAATTCCTTATTTGGTTCACTAGAACCTTGGGCTGTGTTCCAGCCATTCCTTAAAGGCCTAGGTTCTTCATTATGCAAATTGATTCTACAAAATTGCCTGCGTGATCCCAAAAAATATACTAGGTGGCAAAATAGAAGCAAGAAGTGTTCAAAGAGGAAGTTCATCATCAGAAAACCTATGTGGAGAAAGAGTGCAAACTCCTAAAAGTTTGGGAAGGAGAAATTTCCTGAGGTAGAATGTTCCTGAACCAATGCCAACCACCTGCTTCCTCTAGCTCTTGTGGTCTTCAATCTAAAGGAGGAAGTCACTTGTGAAGCAGAACTGTGGATGGGAACTGTTTCACTAGCGTGTAACTTTCATCACCTCTTCCTTGCTGTACTGGGTAATGGGTTCCATCTCTACCACAACGACCCCTGCATGTGTGCTCTTTTCATGATCAGCTTCTTTCACGTACAGTCTACAAGCCTGGCCCGGCTTCAACATTTAGTAATTCGCTTCTTCAAACTCTGCCTCTCTTGATCCTTTCCCACATAACCATTCATCCTCTCATAATGAAGGACTAATTCAAAAGCTTTATCTGTGTGTGAGTGAGTGGGAGGAGTTAATTATATTTAAAATGTAGCAAAGTAATTTTAATGCCAGTTTTAACTTAATCAGCCAAGAGACAATGTGGGATCAACTGGACAATTTTGTAGAGTGACTTTTCTGAGCTGGATTTGTGACAATATATAAGGAATCTCATTCATTCAGCTGGCCAGCCAAAAATATTTTACCTGCCTATGATGTGCCTGGCTCTATGAACTTCAATACATTTTGATTTTGGAGATGTTCTTCCAAGATTGTGATCGCAGCCAATTGTTTCTGTGTCTGTAGTTTCCTAATGGCAAACCTACCCTGCAGTCTCCTGCGCTATTGACTCAGCACTTGTTCTATTGTACTTAGTTTGAATCAAATGACATTGAGCCACTCATCTTCGATCCTCATGAAGCTTTGTTGCAGCTTCTGCCAAAACTCACAACTGTGAGCCCTGTGGAACTGATGAGGCTGCCCAAAGACAATCCTAACACGTCATTTTAGCCAGGGTCTTTGATTTTCTCTTACTGACCTCCAATCAGCTTGAGTTTCCCAAGGCTTTTTGCCTTTTTTAGAGTTCATTATCCAGCAGAGGAGCCAGAGATCAAGAGTTAGATTATAAGAAAATGGAGGTGGAGACCTGACCCAGTCCGGGGGCCTCCAACTAATGGGCCAGGCAGGAGAGCTTACACTCTTCTGCTCAGGTTGGGATTATGTGGTAGGCAGATCTGGTTCCCAGGCAAATGGTTGAAGCAGTTAGAGTGATAGAGAAAGCTGAAAGTGCATGATCTACAAACAGGTTGTTTCACAAAGAGTATTTTTTTTTTTTATTATTCAGTTCTTCAGAACATGGACTGCCTCTTGCACAAGAAATGATATTAGAGATGGTCGATAGAGCTAGAGAAGAGACTTTTTATTGATTTTTCACTGCATTCTGAGCAATCTGCTGGGTACTTTATACCCAATAACTTATTTAATCCTTCATCTACCCTGCTAGATGGTTGTTATTATTGTTGTTGTTCTTCTTGCTATTTTCAACTTCTGAGTAAGGAAATAAGGTTAGGAAGTAAAATAAGTTGTCCAAGGGCCCATAGCTGGGAAGAGGCAGTGTCACCCATGGGATCAAATTACACAAGCAACTTATACCAGACATTCTCCTGGGCATGAGCCTGTGACAGATCTGCAGAGCAGAGCAAGGAACTTAACATGTTCCTGTTTGGATCTCTCCTTTTTATTAAGCCCTGCCTCTTGCTTTCTAGGACTTTCAGAGTTAGGTGATGGCAGGCGACTTCCCAGAACGTTACAAGGCACAGACCTAGGACGTCCTGTGGTCTGAGCTTTATCCCATCCTCATTTTCTGTCAGCTGAATTTACTTGAATAAATGACATTTACCATAGAAGTGGTAGTTTAAGCAATTGCAGCTTCTTTGCTTTAGTGGATTGCTTTTTTGGAGTATGCCATGAGCTGTGCACCACTGTAAAAACAGAAACAGGGGAACCAAGTTCCTGCTCACAGGAAGCTGGTATTTGTGCTGACATAAAATCAAATATGAAATCCAGGAACTGGTTAGTAGTGTGGACTGAGTGGGAAAATACACAGCAAATAGCTAGAAAGGGCTTGGCATGTGATAAAGACTCAATAACTGTGGTTCCTTTTCCATCTGTGTAGCAATTTGAAGTCAAATGAACCAACGTATCCAAACTCCTAAGTAGGGTTTCTTTCCCTGATTCTTCCACTTCCAAGCATGCTGAATTTTCTAAAATCTCTGGCAGCTGCCCAAGCATGGAGTTTGCATGCTGTGGACCCAAGAGTTGGAGCAGAGCTGCCTGAAATTGCTCACTTGACTGTCTTCTGCTAGGGAGCTTTGGGCTTTTTGAAGGCAGAGACCAATCTCTCCATCAGCCATATATTTTGTGTCCTGCACACAGTAAGTATTCAATAAAAAAAAATTGCTTCTGAAAGAAAAGAAAGGTGGTAGTTTGTATGTGGACCTGTTTGTTGCCCTTGGCTGGTTTTTGTATTTATTCTCTTTTACTAAGAGAAGTACTGGCTTTTGGTGAAGCTGATGGGAGGCAGCCCAAGAAAGAGAGATACAAAAATTCATTTGTCTGAGCTTCTTCCTTTTTGAAGAAAAGGACAGCTTCAATCTTCTGTGCCTCCTTAATTATTCTTGCTGGGACTGAAGGCACATTCCTGCAGCCTGCCAGCGACAACAACTTAATGTTGTCATAAGCAGAACAACTTAATGGGCAGCAGAGAGGCCTGCTGTATCTTGGCCAGGGTCCCAGTGCTGGGGACTATTGAGTGGGGAATGACGATGCTCCTACAGTCCCCCTTCCCATCTGACAGGCAGCTGGGAAGCATCTTGCTCTCAGTGCTGGCATGAACTAGCAATTCTTTTGAGAAGTGTTGTGCTTAAGAATCTGGGGGCAAATTGAGCTCCCAACAGAGGATGAGATTGGGGTACGTTTCGCCCATTATGCAGTACACCGCACGCCCTTCTTATTCACTGTTACGGGTTGCCCTGCTCCCTCCCATGAGCAAGGCTTGTAACTGGTTCTACTGGATCTCTTCCAAAGTGTTTTCTGGATGAGCAAGAGAAACACTCAACCCAAGACAAACAGAGTTCAGGGCAATGGCCTTCTTTCTGTCAAATTTTTGTGTTTCTGATAATTGCTTTAACAACAAACTTATGGCTGTTCATTATGTTTAAAAACACTTCCAGAACAGTCTATATGCATATGACAGTTAGCTATGCACAAACGCATATGTGTGAGTGTATGTATAATTATAAATATATCTGAAGAAATATCTATGTCTTTTGTAAGAATACTCACATCGGGTATAGCTAAGAACATCCCTTTTTCATTAAACTATGTGTTAAAAAATTACCCTCATTAGCCTAGCACTAAGACTGTTGGTAAAAATGGACTCTTAAGGAAGTATCAAGTGAGAAAAAAAAATACACTTTGAATGTATTTTACACTAAATGCAAATTCTATGACTAAAAATCATCACTTTGTGTTGTGCAGTACAGTTATTAACTCTCCTCAAACATCTCCTCAAGAATTAACATTCATTCGGTTGGTATTCCCCATTAAGCTCAAATTCTGTCCCCATTTGACATCATTAATTTGAAGAGTGACTACATAGCCACCCACTCAGTCCCAGAAAACACACACAGATGTACTAAGTAATGCACGGGGTGGGGGGGAAGGGTTTCTTTCTTTCCCTTTCTCTTGTCCTCTTTGAGCTCTTTTCTACTCTTGCCTGTTAAATAAATGATCTGTCTCTTTGCAGGATAGTGACAACCTCTGGTGGGATGCGTTTGCCACTGAATTTTTTGAAGATGATGCCACATTAACCCTTTCATTTTGTTTGGAAGATGGACCAAAGCGATACAGTAAGAAAGACGTTTATTTTTCTTTAAATATTCCTTTCTTTCTGTGCCTATAAGAAAACCACAGTGGCCTCAGAGAGGAGCTCAACGCTGACAGTCTGACAATAATACCTCTACTCTTGACAATGTTCTTGCTTTCTGTCAAGCTGCTGTCACCTGGTGGCAGCCCGAGTTGGTTCAGACTGATTTCCTTGGAGGCTAAGACTGTTCGGGCACTTGCCTGTTTAGAGTGGAACAAATATGAACTGATTCGCCCAATAATAAGTTGGAGCAGAGTGGTGGAAAGTTTTCCTGCTTCTTGTCTCTGTGACCTTCTCTTATTCTTTATGGTTCACACTTGACACCCAAAGTTCCGGTTGTGAAGGTTTCTAAGAAATAAAAATTCTCCCCAACACTTTATCAGCCCCATCTTTCTAACTCCGTCTCATCAATTGCTTCAGGTATTTATTCTGACAAGTGCTGTCTTTTTGGGGAGAAGGGAGAAGCCACAGCCCCTTTGAATGTACAGTTTGAGATTAGTGTTGACAGAATTAGAGTTCCTTGTCTTTGCGGCGAGTGATAACTCTGTAAAGATCCTCAAATTACAGCCTGCGGCACCTTGGGTAACAGCTGATCTGTCCTGATTAGGTTCAGGCAACTTGTCAGAAATCAGATTTGCTAGTTGTGCTAGCAGATCAAGAGGCGCAGATCTATCAGCACCCAAGCAATTAGTGTCCGGTTAGATCAGAGAGAGATGTGTTTTCAGAAATCAGTGTTGCACATACCAAAGGATCTGACAGGGGGAAAAGCACAGACCCTCTCGCAAACCTGGAGATGAAAACGGAACTTGCCACTGCATGAATGAGTCCACCCAGAGCACTTGCGATTGATAAGTATCAGGGCTCTTAATAAACGTGATTAAAAGCTCTGAGGCTTGCTGAATTTATTTCTAAGTTACTAGGGAATCACTTTTATTATTTTTTTTTTCATTTGAACGGGCTTTGGACAATTTAGCACTCTCTGAATCTGTTGCATGATTACTTGATTAATTATGCTAATACATGCATGTGGTGAGTTCTTAATAGTGGCAAAGTGGGAGCTCAGGCCATGAGGACTTGCTAGCCGAACGAAGCTGGTTGCTGCGGGTGTGGTTTAGATTTCCATTTTGATTTGTGCATTGTGGACTTCAAAGGTACGGGACATTTCTAACCATCACACTGGGTGAGAGGAGAGTGTAGCATGTCAGACAATGTGTTGGGTGTCTCTACATTCAGGAAAATGAGTCCAGTCACTGGCCCTGGTAAAGCACTTTATAGGATCCTTGCTTCTCTGTGTGTGTACGCCCCAAACACCTCAGCCCCCAGGGCAGTGTTTCAGAAGTCTCGGGACAGAAATGCACACAACAGAGAGTAGGTGCTCCCTTCCCAAAATGCTGTGATGCAGTGAATAATTTCTCACCAGGCAGTCCTCCACCCTCTGAGTCACCTTGGCTTGCTTATTGGTTTATTTATTTGTTTATTTTTTGAGATACTATAGCTCAGATAATTTCAACTTACCTTCGTCTTATGTCCTTAGGCTCTGCCAGTTCAGGAACCTGCCTGGGTCTGCACAGGCAACTGAAATTATGATTTTTAAGGTCTGTCCTAATGAAGCAGGCTCTAGCTCTTCCTCTATCCCCCTTGGCCCTGACATCGTGTCAGATGAGGCACTCTCAGCTCCTGGGTGAGATCTCCGATACAGGCACAGGAGCAAATGCCCTCCACTGAGCCATTGGTGCCCAGGTTTCTTTTTTTCTCGGAGCCAAAACATTGCTGGAGTGGAAAAGAGAAACAAAGATGATTGACAGTGTGGAGCGGAGCCTCCTTTGCTGCCTCGCTGACAGCCCATGATGAGCACACGCCGCTGATCTGCGGGCGAGTGACAGCTGAGTGACAGCGAAGGACTGGGCGACAGGAAGCTCGCTTAGAATGCCCTTCTTGCCCTGCTTATGCAGCTCTGAGCACAGGCTACCACCATAACCCGTTCGTGGCTCAGACAGGCTGTGCCAGTCTGGAAAATGCCCACTGGCCCAGAGCCCACAGCTCGAGCTCCCACAGTGCCTCGTGGGGAGCTGCAGCATTCGTGTTTGTGAGGAGGAAACTTAACAGTTGCCTATTAGATTTTAATTTTTAAAAATTTCCTGCATGCTAAGTAACAAATATTCTACAGGAGGTTGTCCCCTCCCTTCCTAGAATAAAACCATGTCTTCCCCTCCCCCTGTATGTCTTTAGAGGTTCCTTTCAATTCTAAGATCACCTGTCTCTAAGATGCTGTAAATCTGGTAATGTGTTTGCTTATTTACTTATTTCCTGTCACTCATTAAAATCCTATCTGTGTGTGGATGGGGCTTTGTTAATTGCTGAATTCTTAGATGAATACATGACTAGATGTAACAGTGCTCAATAAATATTTGGTGAATGAATACATACATGAATGAATGAATGAATGAATGAATGAATGAATGAATGAATGAACATTTTGTGTAAAGCATATCTTACTAAATAGAAGGTTAGCAGAACCATTTTTTACTGCGCTGTTTTGGACTTTTTAATACTGGAGGAACTTTATCCATAGCTGGTGACCCCAAATAAACTTTAGGCTGGGTTATGATCTACTCTCATTGACAAAAATCCCAGTGGCATAATAATTCAGGAAATAATTACGCTTTGAAAGATTCATTGCTCCTTCCATTTGAAAGCTCCTTGGTACTCCAGCTCTCTCAGCTCCAGCCCGCAGGGCTTTGATCTCCGCCTGCTCAGACCCCCAGGTGGGATATGACTGGCAATGTTGGTTCAGATGGAGACTACTGAAGTCTTCTCATGAGACCATGGTGCTACTATGAGGAGCAGAAGAATGGACTGGGATACTGAGCTGGGTCAGGAATTGGGCCACATGTGCCTAAGGTCATTTGTCTGTCCCTTCCTTGGGGAACATCAGGACATGGTGTGGTGGCTGGAGAAGGTAACAGTGTCAGGAAGGTAACAACCTGGACTAGTTGGAATCTCAGGGGAAGGGGGCCATGGGTGGATATTTGCTCATTGTCAGCAGGTCAATAAAGACCTGCAGAGATGAAAAGTCTCTTCTGAAATAGAAACTTGGTCGCAGCTGGATGCTGGGAATCACTGGGCCTCAAGCTTTTTGACTACAAAGGCAGCTGGCCCACAAACTTTCACTAACCCACACATCTCATCCTTAGATCACCTTGTTGCTAAGGGAAACCAAATAACTTCATTAATATACACATTTTTGGTAGCACACATAAGGTCTCAAACAATCATTGTACCTTTATTCAAAAGAAGAGATAGTGGAAGCCCAGGAGGAAGTACCTCAAGTGTACCCGCTGCTCATCCTCTGCTCATTGGCATTGCAGTTCTAAACCCAGCACCATGAGCTACTGGTTCCTCTCTTCATCTTGGTAGATGGGAGCATGCTCCAGTGAAGTGGATGGCTCAGTGCTCATTGTAAGCAGAATACTGATTTTCCTTTGTTTCTTCTAGGCATGTACCAGAACTGTGCCTCCCACTAATCTCTTCTATGACTGTTATAACCAACCATCTGAGTGCCGTTCTGCTGGTAGCCCCCTTGGCAGGCTGAAGCAATGTCTAAGCCCTCATGGGTCATAGTCCTAGGCAGGGCCTCATTCACAATTCATTCAGGAAACATTTTCTTGTGGGGAGAGATGTGTGGAGGAATTTTACTGAGGCCAGTGCCAGGCTGGCGCTAGAAAGCCCAGGAAGCTGAATGGTATCAGAGAAGGGACACAAGAGTTCAACACCAAGTGTTGAGTTTCAATCCTGGCTTTGCTGTATAGAGAAACCCTCTGAACAAGGCATAAGTAGGAAGAGGAAATATGCAAAATGGAAAGAAAAGGCTAAGCATATGTGGGTGCTGTATTTTGGGGACAAAAGAACAGGACAGAACATTCATTAAAATCTGTTTGGTCAGCATCTGAAGTTTGAAGAAAAGTGATATAACTAATAAAATTCCATCTTGCTTCCAACACTTCCCATTGGCCTGCCTTCTAGAGAAAGGGGCTCTGGGCCTGATACCTGGACTCACACCCAAATTGATCTCTTATTACATATGTGACTTGAGATAAGTTATTCTGGAAGCATTGGTGGTCTCCAAAAAGTGAGAGCTTCATATGGAAAACCCTGAGGAACATACCCAGCTGCTTTAAAGTGCTCCATAAATATTAGCTATTGTTATTTGATTGGATTCCATTGAGTCCCATTGCTCCATTTAGGTTGAGGTGCAAGACAATTCAATAAAAGTTTCATTAATCCTTTAACTACTGCATGCAGATCTGGGCTGAGGGGCCTAATAATTCTCTACCACACTGTAGTTATTTCATCTTGACCTCTATATTATTTTTCAAATAAGGATTTATTTTGCAGAACCACACATGGTCATAGTCAGACAGCCCTAAAACTATTCTGTGGGTACTGGGAGAGCATTTCGCTCTGAAACAAGGGGGGAGAGAAAACAGAGCTGATTTGGGAAATGTTCTTGTGTCTGTAGCTTTATTTTCCTGAGTACTCCAGCCTTATTAGTTTGAAAAAGTACAAATTGAGCTCTCTAGAGCCCTTTCAACACTCTTTGTTTATCCTTCACATTTTCTTCTCCATCTCTCTTTCTTCCTGCAAACACTGATAGCTTTGCAATACTAAGTGCCTCAATTTTGTCTTGTAATATGTGCTTTTATATGTTGTATATTTGGACATGTTCCCTTAAGGTAGAGAATTTCTACATGTCCCAAGTAGCTTCACTATCTCTGGTTACTATTTTTTCTCTGAATTTTATTGGCTCACCCCACCCTCCTGCATTTTTATTAAGCTTGTCATAGAAGAATTCTGAAATGGGCAAATTCTGAAATTTGCCCATTTTCTCCCCCCCCCCTTTTCACTCTCTAATAGTATAGCACTTGATTAAAAATATATTTCTGGGAAAAATCACTCCTTGATAATAAGCATAAGGCACCTTGA